AGATGGTACACTCCAAGCATGGGCACAAGGAGTTGGCACAAGTGATTTTTTTTTTTTTAATTATTTTTTACTGCAGCTCATATGTTGAAGGAGTTAGGTGTGATGCAGATTGAAATATTGGTATTTGCTTTTCTCTTGGGACAAAAGTGACTTCCCCCCCTTACACTAGAGCATGAAGGAATGGGAGAGACTAAAGGGTGCTTTGAGGGGGAAATACAGACCCTTCCCTTACTAGTCTGTCAGGACCTGCCTCTGCCAGAAGCTCATGGTGCTTCTAATAACTTTCTTTTAATGCTTATTAAGATGGGATGATAGAGCTGTCTCTGCCTATTGCCTTGCTGCACTCCTCCCTCCCTTGGAGGTCAGATCGATTTGGCTGACTGGTACCAATCTAAGCTGCCCCGTTTCCAGCGCTGCCTGGCTCTTCTACTTTCCTCCTTTTTCGGGGCTGGCACGCTCTGAGGAGGTGAGCTCAGCTCCTAACCCCTGCTCCTTTTTGTGCTTTGCATGAGCTTTAAAACCTTTCTGGTTTGTGTGTTCGTGCAAAAGCTTGGTGGAAGTGAACTGTATGTAAATCCCCTCTCTTGGGCTTGGTGGTTTACAGACCTTTGCATCCTTGCAGTGGAAATGCCCCGGTGGATCTGGTTCTCTTTGGTTTATAATGCAGGACAGCATGAGAGCCGGGGTGGAGGCTTTGTGAGAAGAATCTCTTAATAACCAGGCTCTGAGGCCAGGAGCCCTTTCTTGTTAATCTGATCTAGATGTGCATTGTGGTGGTGTGAGATGACACCTGTCCGTGACAGCACAGGTATGGGAATGGTATTTTTGTCATGCTGCTTGAAGTGAAACGAGGTCATGTGTAGAACTGTCCCCCAGTACAGAGCACCTGAGAAAATCCCTGGGAGCTCCTTAAATTTATGTCTGTGCAGGCTAAAAAGAGTTAACAGCTCTACACCTCTGCCCCCTCTGCTGCTGCCTCCCAGGCTGGCCCAGCTCCATGTGCTTTTGTCTAGGAAAGATTGACTTTCACCTTGCTCCTGTTTACTCCTAGACTTGTGTACACAGTGCTGGGGAGGGAGATGCAGGAGCAAGTGCTGGGTCTCCACGCCAAAGTTATAAACTTGATAAAGAGCTCCCAGTGCTTTGGATGCCTGAGTCTCTGCAGGTTTGGCTCCCTTTGCAGCTTGCTGGCTGTGACCCTTCAGAGAAGCTTTTAATGAACCCTTGTGTGTTTGATCAGAGACAAAGGCCAGCTGTAAAAGCTAGTTCCATGTCTGGAAAACTTTGTCTCTGCCCCAAAACATCATTTGAGTTTGTTTTTTTTTTTTTTTTTAAAGGGTTTGCAAAGACTGTGGTGAGGACGTGTGGGCTGGGGCAAGTGAGCTGCCTGGGTTTGTTATTTCCCAGAACTAGCTAGTGGCTGGGGAAATTCACACATTGGACAGAAACTTTGCTTGGTGCCTCAAGAAATAGGTGCTCTTACTTTGAGAGGAGGCTCATGGTATGCTGGGCTGTAAGTGAAGGCCCAGGAGCACAAAATGGAGTGGGGTGGGCTAGGGACGGAGCACAGTAGGGCTGCGATTCCTGTGTCAGAGCTGATCAAGCCGTGTCTGGCTTCATCCAGCAGTGCAGCCTGTCTCGGGCTCAAACATGAGACCTCTGTGCCCAGCTTTTCCAGGAATGACGCTCATAGTTCACGTGCCTGACGTGCTGGCTGTCTGGCAGGGAATAAACTCATGTTTTTGCCACTGGCAGGCAGGAAAAGCTTCTGCTCCCCATGTGTTGGTTAATCTCCCTTGGTGCTTACTGGGGATAAAGCTGCTTAACATGAGGAGGAAACCCTGGAACTAGACTCCCGCAGGAAAGGTTGATTTCTGTACAGACCTCTCCTAGAGAGGAGCATATTAATAGTAGGGCTTGCCTTCAGCTGCCGAGGTGAGGTGGGGCTGTGCAGCCACCCAGTCCGACTCTTCCCAGCAAGTCCCTGGCCTGGCTCCAGTTCTGGGATAACAGGTGGTGGAAAGCAGACTCCGGGCAGTGCCGGGGCCCTCCTCCAGTTGGCAGTTGCAGAAGGTGTTAGGCTTAATGTGGCCAGAGACAACTTGGCAAGGGCTGACTTGTCCTGCGGCACTATCCTGGCTTTTTCCTCTTGGCTGCAGCCTGCCAGCTGAGAGGAAGCACAGGCACCTTCTGTGGTGCTTCTTCACCTGGCACTGAAGCTGCAGGGAGGACTGAATCCCCTTGGAAAGGGATTCACTCTTTAAGTAATACTCCAGGGAGCTCTTCATGTGGCACTTGGGAAGCCCTAAGCCCTTGCTTTTAAGTCTGTGAAAGTGCCTGTGTGCCCTCTCACAGGTGTGCATGTGAGGAATGTGCCTGCTCCAGACCTGCCCTGTGAGCACTCCAGTGTTAACTCTTCCTGGGCTGCCCATGCCCCAGCTCCCAGTAGGAGCCTGCTCCCTAGGAGAGCATGTCCTGAACCTGGAGGGTAAGTACAGGGGTGCCCAGCAGCCCTGCAACTTCCCTGGCAGATGAATCTGTAAAATGAGTCTCATTGCCCACCGAAGTTTCCCAGAGTTTTGAGAAACTCTCGTGGCTTCCAGGAACTTCCCTGTCCTTGCACAAGAGGATGATGAAGAGTGAGTTCGGGGAACGCTCCCATATAATCTTATTTACGCTTATGAGTCAGTAATTTCCTTGTTATGTCCTCTGGCGTGTAAACACTGTCTGTCCTGATTTAAATAGGGTTTTCTGATAGCCTAACCTGGTGTGTTCCACTGTATGTACTAATCACCGTGGCTGGCTGCCACTGCTTTGCTCACGGCTGATCTGATAAGGCTGACCTGCTGTCCAGCCACTCGGTGGCTTAAATGCGGGTTTTCTTGAGCTGCCCTCATTAGGACATTAGCTGGCCATGATTCATAATGAAGTACGGCATGAGCTGGCACAGGGGTGTGGCTCAGCACAGGGCTCTTGCCAAAGTGGATCTGCCCTGGTGCAGCAGGCGGGTTACACGGATCTGCAGCAAACGTGCCCCCTGGTCCGAGTGCCCCAGCTCAGGCAGACGGGAATTGGGCTCTTCCTGCCCCTTGATGAAATGGCCAGAAGCTGTCCTGGGAACAGCTACTGCAATGCTGGCAGCAGTTTCCACTGCTGGTCTGGCTTTGGCTGGGTTTCATGTATCTTGAAATGAATTTGCCTTGGAGGGAGTGATCCCTATCGTTAGGAATGCCTGGTTCCAGGATTTCTTCCCAGCCGGCCTTCCTCCCCAGCCCCCTTCCCCTCACCTAGTGCCAGGTTTGGGCAGAGCAGAGATGGGGGGGGGGGGGGTGTCTTGGAAGAGAGCTGGCCTCAGCGCTTCATGCTAGGCTGTTCATTTGGTTATCCTCCAGCAAAGTTGCTGGGGTAACCAAAGATGCTTCAATAAGCTAATGAAAAGTGCAACTGGTAGCCACTGCTCCTTATGCAAAACAAGAAACATCTTGTCCTGACCACAAGGCCTTGTTTGTGGCAAAACCAGTATGCTAATGGGCCGGGAAGCCTGGGCTGGAAGCAGGGCTGTGGCTGTGGGCAGAGGAAGCTGACACATGGCTTGTGGCTGATGGTTGGCCTTTACTTGTGAGATCAATAGTGGATGTAATTCATCAGTTGGTGTCACTGCTGGGCTGCAGGATGGGCCACACCTGGGTGAGCAGGGAGGCTGATCCCAGCTGCTCAGGCTCTTGCTGCTGCCCTGATGAAGCAGCAAGTGCTGGGGCTCAGGTGATGCCACCCAGCTCTTCCTGTCCCTACAAGACTCTGATCTTCATCCCCTGTGAGGATGTAACTCGTGGTAAACCTCTGCATTAAGAGCCCTTGGATGTACAGGACTGTGGAGTAAAAGATGCTTTAAAAATGCTCCCCCCAGGGGGATAAACCTTCAGAAAGACTTCCCAGTCTTTCTGTGGGGACAGCATGAAAAAATATTGTCAGTTTAGCCTCTGGCTAAGGGACCCATCCATCTGCATTGTGCTTCTAGCTGCAGGGGAGGGGGTCAAGGCCCCCACCGTGGCAATGACTTCATGGCTGTGGAAGCATCCGGAGCTATTGGAATCTGTGGGCTGGTGTTGAGCAAACAAATTGCTCATACCTGTGGTACCCTCAGTGGGGCTGGCCCCAGGGCTGTGGGGGGGAGGAGAAATCCTTCTGGGGAAATGGCAAAACCTTGGTAAGGGCAGAAGGTTTGGGCTTTTGACTCCTTGAAGTTCCAAGTGCATATGAGCTCTGGTGTGTGAATTGCCACTGTGACCAAACAGCTGATTCTCGGGGAGGCTCTCTTGCCATTTTGCTAACATGTGTCTGTAAGTGCAGTCATCAGGCTGTAGGATGCCTGACCTTAATTTTACAAACTTGTTTATGTGTGTTTTAAGAGGTGAGGCAGGGGAAGCTCTTCCTTCAGGCAAGTCATTATTGATAGCAAGTGCTCTTGAACATCATGCCATATTGCACTGCAATTCAGCTGAACTGACATACTAGTTTTTAACCCTTGAGTGATAAAATAAGCTTGTTCTCAATACAGGAAACAACAAATTGCCTTAGTGTGAGGCTTTGGTGCTATGCAAAAAACTGATCTATAGGTGCCAGGCTTTTTCTCTGGGAATAGCATGTCAATCCAAATCTCCCCTTATCACAGACTGAAGGTACTGATTTTCTGAATGCTTTTGCTACAAAGTCCTGATCAAGATCCTGTTGTGTTATTTTCACCCTGTGGGTTCAAGTGAACCTCCTGAATCTGTAGCCCTCAGGAAATTCCCCTCCCAGGCTGGCTCTCACTTCTGTTCTGAGAAATTCTAGGGGAATTCAGCTGTTTCCTGGCTGATGAAGATAATGCTTTTGGTAGAGAGAATTTAATGTTCTTCTGATGGAAGTGATGTGCTCAGCACAATCTCTGAACTCCTAACACTATGAAATGCTTCTGAGGACTTGCCTGATACTTAATGCTTCTCCACCCTTCTTTACAGGTAAGAGAAACCGAGACCATGGATGCCCGATGGCTTGACTACCCTGCCTCTGGAGACTTGCCAGATGATGAAGACATTGGTGAATTCAGGCCTCATGTAACTTCTGATGGGTTAGATATAGATGAGGCATCTGGGTCTGGAGGTAAGTGGGGACAGGGGGGAAAATGGGTCTCCCTCAGTTGATGCTGTGAAATTTCTTCTAGCACTAGCCCATGAGCAGTGGGCTAAGTGCACAGCCAGAGCTCCAGAGGGAACTACAGTGTCAGGTGGAGATGAGAAAGCTGTGTGAATTGTAGTTACTCACAGATGAGAATGGTGAAAGTGGTTGTACTGTGATGTTGAATCACTCGGGGAGGACGGATGGAGTCCATCCAAGTTTGTCTTACTGCAAGTGAAAAGGCATTGTATTTGCTGGATCTCTTTCCTGTTGAACTCCAAAGACCTGAGAAACTTAAATAAAAATAATAATTAAAAAAAAGTCTATTGTTGGGGCAGTGTTTAAAATTTAGTATCTCAGCTGAGGCCAAATAAGGTAAAGGCCTAACTTGTGTTCAAGTGAACTGTGACATGCAAAGCTCTCTGGCCAAACCAGTTTCTGTAGCTCAGTGTCCCCTTTATGTGAACATTCGTTCTCTGAAAGGGAAAGAACAAGTGCTGAAATCGGTGCCTGACATGTTTGGGCAGATCTGGTAACTAGAGGGTTGTGGAACCATCCTTTAGGGATGGGTGGTGAGAGCATTGCCCTCCATTGGCATTAGTTTAGCAAGCTATAGCAGACCTGCTTTGCAGGGCAACTCCTGATAATTTGCAGCAGGGGCCAATGGATCCAGCTGAAGACCCCTCCCATGTGAGAGGTGTTGGTTTTATGATTACATCTCATGGTCTTGTGCAATCAAAGCCATTAATGGTGAAAATACCAGTAGATAAGAGGGAACTGTAGTCAGCAGAGAACTAGAGTTCTAGTTTGTCAGCAGTCACTGGTATTGCCGGAAGTGTCTGAATTCGGGGAAAATGTCATATAAGAGGAAAACTTAGTGTACTTTTTTTAACTTATTTTCCGCCCTTGCCCTGCAGACTACTCAGACTCTGAAGATGCCATATATCTGACCACCATGGATACTCCTGTGGTAGGTATTGCATCTGCATGTTTTAAGCAACACATAGCTACACTGGTCTGTCTGTGAAACTTTCTGAATACCCTTCCCCCTGCAAGACATGGCATCAAGATGAATCTTAACTGCATGAGCAGGAACAGTGTGCTCGTAATGCACTAAGCAAACTTCTTTTCCTGCACGCCCTCCTACTTTCAATTGTAAGTAGGCTGGGTGCTACTTACTGATGGGTGTGGTTTGTCTATATTCTGTAGATATCTGACAACTATATCCCTGGAGATACTGAGAGAAAGATAGAAGGTGAGAAGAAAAACACAGTGGTGGACAATGAAATCATTCCAGACAAAGCTGTACCTGTTGAAGAGAACCTGTCCAACAAGATCTCCATGGCAAGCACAGCCAACAGCAGCATCTTTGAAAGAACAGAGGTTCTTACAGGTAATACTCCACCTTGCCCTGATAAATCATTAATACTGTAAATAAAAATGGCTTCTATTGTTCCCTGTTTCTCTGGGGAGCAGTTCCCTACTGACAAGGGGAGTGAAATGCATTACCTCTGTGACTGCCTGAGCAGGGTCACTTCTGCCTATTGCAGAAGCCAAAGAGCCTACTGCTTGCCTTGCTGGGGTAATAAACAGCTTGTTTTTGAGCCTGCCAGCTGACTGTTGGCTTAAAGGCCACACAAGTCATGTGGCAGCTGCTCTGCACCCAGATACTACCTCAACAAGAGGCATATCTAGCCATAAATCAGTGACATCATAGACTTTCATATCAAATGCAGGTGTTTTCCTTCTAACCTCTGCCCAAGTCCTGCCTTTTTTGAGCCTTGCCAGGAACCAAACAACCCCTCTCAGGGATTTGAACACTTAGTCAACTGCTACAAATCTAAGTACCTCTGTCTCGAGCAAAGCCAAGCGACTGGCTTCCCCTCAGCACGTGGGACAGTTCTGTCTCAAGGCGTGCTCCATCAAGCACTTGGCCTGACAGTCCGAGTACAAACCTCGGCACATCGTGCCGATCTGCAGCCGTCTCCCTGTCGGAGGAGGGACTGGGAGAGTGACTTGCAAAGCCACCTAACAAAGAAGCTGATCTAGGGCAGTGAGTAGGTGTCACAGCAAAGGATAAACTTCATTAAAGTCTTGTGGCCACCCTTGGTGTGAGGAGAGAGAAAATCTTGGTGTGTTTTTGTGGGTTTGTGGTTTTTGGTTGTTGGAGTGTTTTTTGGAGGGAAGTGGTGGTGGTAGTGGGGTGTTGCTGTTTAATTTGAAATACAGAGTCCCCAGAGTGTGCTCATACAAGTAGCTAACATCTAAAGCATTCAGATCGGAACTATACCATTTTCCTGGAGTTGGTGGTGTTTGTGGGTTGTGGGTGGGGCTTTTTGGGTGGGTTTTTTGTTGTCTCCACACAGGGAGGATGTCTTTCTGTCAAAATTTCTTTCTCTCAATAAACTGGAATATTAACACAAACTGGTTAATGTGGAACATGTGATTGTTCTGTGGTTGAACTGAAAGCAGTTTCTGGCCTTTTCCAGTAACATCAGCTGTCACTGGAAATGCCAGCATGCATGGTGACAGGCGCACGGACAGCGCTGACTCGGAGCAGTGCTGGGGGTGGTAATTTTGAAGCAAGTTTTGAGATGTGGCAGATGGTTTGGAGTTGTCCAGGAATTTAGACTTATTCCATGCTCTTTTTTTCCTCCCCAGCTCTCATTGCAGGAGGGGCAGTGGGCCTCCTGTTTGCTGTCTTCCTGATCCTCCTCTTAGTCTATCGCATGAAGAAAAAGGACGAAGGCAGTTACGATCTTGGGAAGAAACCAATCTACAAGAAAGCCCCTACAAATGAGTTCTATGCTTAAAGCTCAGCAGCACCTTGTGCCCATCAAGGGACAAACAGACTGTATGGAAACACTGTGCCCTCAGATGAGATGCGCTGAACAAATGCTCTTTTTGGATTGAATTTCAAAACGACTTAGAAAAGAAAAAAAACTTCCTATGTGACCCTTCCCATCCTGCTCAGCTAACAAGGGCCCAATGAAATACAAAGAGTCTGAAAAAAAACCCCTCAGTGTATTTTTTTCCAAAGCTAGTATAAAAAGAATAAAGATGCCAAATTATCTGCTTGGTTTCATAGAGGGTATATAAACACAAAACAGACTGTATGGAAGCAAACACCATGTGTTTGTATCCAGTGTGCTGTGTTCAGATTGGCTGCTTCTATAGAAGATGGCTTTTTTTATAAACCTTGCTGATAGATGTCTTGCAGCAGGCTGTTGATGTGAAGCATTTTTGTAGAGAACTATTTATGAATCTCTTACACTACAGATAATGTTGCCTTATCAGGGAGTAAAAGGCCCATAGAGGCTCAAAATCCCTGAATGCCATAAAGGGCCTATGGGAATGTCTTCCCCAGGAGACTTCTGTCTGTTCCTGTTGCCCCAGGCAAGGGTCATTAGTCCATGAAATCAGGACAGCCAGTTTTGTTTGGCTATGATGACACCCTTTCCTTGCCTTCGGTCTTCTACCTTTTTTTAAGGATTGCTTGTTGGAATTTTTTTATAACAAAATTTTAAAGAAAATAGCTTAATGTTTATATAAAGTTTGTAGAAATTGTTTTGAAATAATAAAAAAAAAATCTACTTTTTTAATTTCCTCAGATTTATTTTTTCAATCCCTTTGTGTTTCCTTTGGCCGGGCATTTCTCTAGAGATGTTTGTTTTATATGATTCATATTCTGAACTGAAGCAGACTTAGCTACAGTGTGTTACAGGTTTCTTCTAGTTGTATAGCAGCTACTGTAGAGGGTAAAGATGTTTATGATTTTCCCATAACTTTTTTAGGATTTTTTTTTTAATAGAATTATTTATAGTTTCTGAAATGGCTGCTCTCTTATTTGGTATCTTTTATCCTTTTTATGGTAAAACACTAATATAATGAGTCTCTGTGAAAACTATTTAAGCTTTATTATGTGAATTTTAATTAAAAATTCCAGGCAATAACTTCTAGGATTAATCTGTATGCAAAATTGGATTCATAATATGATTGAAGTAGGTAAAAGATGAGAGTATTTCTAGCCTGTAATATATTATAATATATTCTCTGTAATATATTATAATCAGTCCTATAGAGCTATATATTATATATTTTACTGAGAAATATACAGTTAAGGTGAGAGGGCTGGAGTTAATTCTCCAGCAGCATTACTGTGTGTGAGAGGCTTGGTGTCGTTGGCACGGCTGTTTGTCCAGGGCCGTGCCCGGAGCAGCAGCGGGCGTGGGCGAGGGCAGGCGGCTGGGAGCCGCCGTGGGCTCCGGCCGTGTCCCGGCGATGCGCTGGGTTTGAGCCTCTGAGTTGGAGCAGAGATCCCCGTCTGGGGCTGCTCTCCGAAGGGGGTGTTGGAAGCTCGCAGGAGGGAGGAAATAACTTTTTGGTTTGGGGTCTGGCTGCGGCGCGGGGTCCGCTGCGGCGCTGTGCTGGGTGCCTCCCAGCTGGGAGCGCTGAGCTTTCATAGATGGCTAGCTCTGACCCTCCTGCGGTGGGTCTTTCTTAATATATCGTGTACATAGCTCCTACCTCTACTGAGACTTAGACCAATTCCCCCAGGGCTCCTAGAGCGGAGGGTAAGGTGTGTGTCCGATGCCTCTGTTTCACACAGTGTGGGTCCCCAGTCTGAGTAACTGGGTAGACTGCACAAAACCAGATGGTTGTGAAGGCTGTTCAGAAATCTCATCGACTCCTGAAGCTTCCTTACAGAGGCTTTGTTGTAGGCTTGAGGCCAGATTCATAGAGGCGATAGAACAAAGTTTGGCTTCGGCCAGTGGCAGCTGCTTCTCGGAGCTAGGGAGGCGAAGGGGGGGACGCAGGGCAGCCGTGTATTGAGACATCAGTGTGAGAGGATTCTTCCCAAGGGTCCTCCTCCAGGTTGACTTGCTCATTTTGTCCCAGTATAAGTGTGTTTGAGGAAACTGCAGGCTCTAAACTGCACAGAGTTCACTGTAGAGTGGGAAAGAGAGGGAGGACTTCACTGCCTGCAGACAGCACTACCAGGAAGGCAGGAGCAGTGTCTGCTTCTTGCGATATTTAGATTCTCTTGTGTAATTGCTCTTGGGGATTTTCCACTGTTACTGATTTTTTTTTTTTTTTTTCCTCAAATAAACTGGTACTTTCTAAAATTGGCTTTTGGACTGATTCTGATCTGAAATTACTTCTGAGAGCTGGATAACAGGGAGCTTGTGTTTGTGTAACTTCTTGGTTTACCAAAGGGGAGGCACGCTGGGATCTGGCTTGGCAGTGGCCTGCAGCTCAAAGGGGCTTTGTCAGCTGCTCCTGAGCTGTCTTCAGCATCTGACCCACAAGCGGCTCCTGTAGGACCAGTGTTACTGGGCTTCTGGAGCTACTGAAGCTACTTCAGGCAAGTAAAACAGATGCAGCATGGCACAAGGAGGCGAGTCCATCGCTTCTCTGGTGATCAGTTTTGTGATGGCACTTGGAGAGGGCTGCCCTCTTGCAGCCTGAAGGGACACAAGGAGGCTTCTGTGTGTCCCCTGATGACAGCGGCACATTTGTGTGCCCTCAAACGCAGGAGTGCAAAGTGTAGAGAGTCTTACTCAACCAAGTTTTGAGCCAACCTGTTTAACTAATGTGGGCCTTCAAGTGGGGGTAGAGCTGTTTCAGCTTCCCTAGGATCAGCTGCTCTGGGGAGCAAGTCCACAGGTGACTTCGTGCCATTTTGTGCTAAAGCAGCTCTTAAGCAAGACATGGAGGAAGCTGCAGCTTCTTCAAGCCCCTCTGCTCTAACAGCTTGGTGCTCTTGGGGGACAGAACCAGTCTCTTCTCTCCCTGGGCATGTGGGAGAGGGTGGGCTGTGCAGAGAGCAGGGCTGCTTGCTGGGAAAAGTGCCGAGTCTTAAGAAGCACTGCCTTTAAACGGATTATCATCCTTGAGAAAATCTAATTCCTTTTTCCCTGGTGGGAACTCCTACTTGGAGTGGTTAGGATTAGCAGGGATGGAGGAAACAAATTTGGACTAGTACACAGGCTCCTTCGTTGAGGGTGAGGGAGTAGCAAATACTTGCTCTGCTTCTTGTTGCCTGGTCTGTCACTCCTCTGAGAATCTGCTTCTAGTACCAAGTAAAGCAGAGCCACGTGTTCCCAGGCCTGACCTTCCCTCTGTGGGAGCTGCTGTTTGTCAGTAAATTGGTGACGTATGCCTGTGATCTTCATGTTCTCGTGCCTCATGCAGCTGTGACAGGTTTTGGATGTGCTTCTTGGAACAACGTATGTTTGTCTTTTTTCTTTTTTTTTTCCCCCTTCTTTCTCTCCTGGGTTTCATCTCAGTTGCAAGAATCCCGTGTACTTTCCAAAACTGCCCTCAGCGTAAAAGCGCCTTGTTTTTGCAAATGTACTCTGCAAATCCCTAGAGCACAAGCCTGGCTGCCTGCCCGTCCTTGCAGAGCCGTGGTGCCTGGGATGGATTTGTCACCATTCCCTCTGTCTGCCTCTTCCCTCCCTGGCCAGCCTGTCTCTATCTGGCATTAGCTGAGGGGTGACTTGCACTAATGCCTTGTGAATTCTTGGTTTTCAGCTCTGACCCCAGGGATGACACTTGGTTGTTTTTCTTCCCAGTGCTGCTCTGGTTTTAAAACCAAAACCCTGAGGATCTGTTTCACCTGGCTTGAAAATAGCTGGAACCCTCCCAGGCTGTCCAAGGGGCCAGGGGCAGGTCTGTCCTTCCCAAACATACCCTGGCAGGAGGGGCTCTGGGGAATGAGTGGAAGGGCTGGAAGATGAAGGGTAACCTTGCTGTTCCTCTTTATGTCTTCCAGGGGGATTTTGAGGTGGAGTTCATGGGTGTTTAGGTCCCTTGTTGTGCAGGGTGAGCTGTGGTGCTGGGGTGGGTGCTGTGCTGCGTGCCAGAGAGGTGCCCAAATGGGTCACAGGGGTGCTGTGCACTAGTGTTGGTGCTGGCGGTGCCTGTCCCCACCACCTCTAACCTCCGGAGGGGTACAGGGCACCCACTTCTCTGGGCAGGACACGCAGGCTGCCCAGAGAGACGGTGGAGTCTGGGAGGGAACAATTCCTACACCTTGGAGGCACGGTTTCCCACAAGCATCCCCCAGCCCCCTGGGTGCTGAGCTGGCTCCCTGTGGCTGCAGACAGGGGACAAGGAGAGCCCAGGGGGTGGGGATCCCAGTACGGCTCTATCCTGCCCACAGGGGATGGAGGGCACCAGCGTGGGGGGGGGGGGGGTCCCTGGGCTCCCAGTTGATCAGATGAACTGGGGCTGTGCAGGCGGTGACAGGGCAGGTTGTCTGTGGGGCTGGGGCCTGCTGGGTGCAGACATTCCTCGCTGTTAATGGGTGCAGCTGACCCTTTGCTGCAGGGTGTTCCTGTCGTTGGGGCTAAAACCTCTCGGCTCCTCCTTCACCCTCTGTCCCATCCTGCTCCGTGCCAGCTCCAGCACAGGCGGTGCTGCCCAAAGCTCTGGTGTCTTTGGGGGGCTGAGTCACATGTACCCAAGGTGCCCCCCCCCCCCCCCCCCGGGGTTGGGTTTTAGACAGACTCAGAGGGCTGGGATGCTCGATGTTGTGCGATGAAGCCGCGTTGCCCACGCAGGCTAACGAGCAGCACCCCGTGGACGAGGAGGGTGGGGGTTTCGCCCCGGCGGTTGCACTTTAGGGTGTAGCAGCGTTACTCTGGGTATCAGCTGCCTGCTTGCCCTGCCCGTGCCCCTCTGCTTGCCCCCGCAGCCGAGCACCACGGGCCCACGCGTGACATCTTCGCCTTGTGTTTGCTGCCACCTCCTGGGCGAGCCCCCCCCCAGCCCCGAGCTCTTAGCAGGAATGGGGTGGAGGGACAGAAACAGCTTCTCACTTGGAGGTACAACCAGCTCCTGAATCCTCAGACAGGAGCAAGCACTTCCCAGGGTGCTGCCCAGCCCAGGTTTGTGCTTCTTTTGGGGAGGATTCAGAGAAATCAAGGCATTAGTTATGTTGCTTTTTGTTGCAGCTATTGCAGCTGAAGCTCAGGGGCAGCTTTACAGAGGTGGCTTGGGCTCTGAAAGGCATCTGGGACCCACACGGAAATACCATTTCCCTGCAAAAGGCATTAAAAGAGGCTTTGTGGGGCTTTGTTTTGGGGAGGAGCAGCATGTGGCCAGACACCCCAGCTGACCAAGGACGATCACCCATAGTGGCTGGTTAGCTGGGGAGGGTGGGGGGTATGTGGTGTGAGCCTGGGAGCAAGGGGGACCCCTACAGTGGCCAACAGCACCCGCCTTGCACCCCGATGTAAGGAGATGATCAAGCTGTACTGTGCCTCATGCCGCAGCCCACGCAGGGGGAGCCCTCCGGCTCACCAGCACCCGCCTCCTGCCCCAGCACCACGGGGATGGGCCCTTCCCCTCTCCCTTTCCCCAGCAGAGCAGGTGGAGATGCAGATCCTCTGTCCCGGTATGGAAAGCAGAAGGGGCAGGGATTTCTCCCGCTATCCTAAAATGCTGGTGGCTTGGGAAAAGTGTGGGTGGGAAGAGGTGTAACGATGCATTTGTCTTGGGAACAGATTAAACTTAATAATATGGGGTCATTGAGGCAAAGGTGTGTCTGGCTGATGCAGCGAGATGAGGCAGAGCTCAGTGGTGGGGGGACGGGGGAGCAGCTCCTGTGTGTCTGCTGTGACCCCACGGTGCTGGGAGCTCACCCGAGAAAATCCACCCACAGTTGTGCTGAGCGTGGGGCAGCTTGGAGAGGGGCTTGGGGGTGCTGGAGGAGGACGAATGCCCCACCCCAGACAGGGGTCCTGCCGGGCTGTGGGGACGGTGGGCACTGGCAGCCCCGGGGGTTCCCCTGGGCCTGGCCTGGGACCAGCATGCTGCAGTGAGCTGCCGCGTTCGCGGCACTGGGAGCTGCGTCCCCAGAGCCACTGGCAAGCCTGGACCTGCGAGGGCTGCGCCGAGCATTGTGGAGGGTGTGGTGGAGCCAGCCTGGCTCCCAGCGGCACCCCCAGCCTCGGGGCGGGGGGCGGTGGTGGCTCGGTGCGGAGCCCAAACTGGGGATGCTGGCTCGGCTCAGCCTCCCCGTTGCGTGCTTTGCCACGGGAGGGAACCCAACTGGGGCCATCCTGAGCCCTGTGGGTGCATCTCTGTTCAGCTGCAGGGATGGGATGCTCTCCTAGGACTCGTGGTCCCCCGTCCCCAGTGTTCTCCTCGTGACCAGGACAGCCAGGTGTGGAAGATGCTGAGCATCTGCCAGCAGCCAGTCCCTGCCTTGTGCAGGATCCGGCCACCAAGGATAGTGAGGCTGTTGGGCTCATTGCAGCTTTGTTTTGCAGGTTCATCTTTGACAAAGGTGATCCAAAACCCCGATCCTCCCATTGAGCCTTTCCTGGGGCTACTGGGAAGATGATGGCTGGGGCCCCTTCTCACACGTCTCCTTGCAGCAGGCTCGGGAAGAAGCACAGTCTGAAAGCAGAGCCAGAGTTTGGGCCTGCCTAATCTTGAAGGCAACCTGCCAGGACTAGCATGAGGGGCCAGGCTGGCACGCTGTCCCCTGCTGCTGCCCCGGTGAGCAGCCATACCACCAGTGACCAGTTCGCTGTTGGAAACCAGTCTGCTGCAGCCGCAAGTCCATTGCTGCTCTGCATCCTGAGGACAGGAGCGTTTCTGCATGGGACAGGGTAAGGACTGGGTGTCTCCAGATCTCCGTGGGGTTTGGCACAGGCAGGGAGGGACACAAGTGCAGATGTCCCCGTGGCTCTGCCCAGACAGGCTGGTGTGAGGGACTGGGGTGCTGGGGGTGCTCCCAGTGCCAAAAGGCACCGGGACACCTGCGGGCACTGCTCTTGCTGCCGCAGCATTGTGCTGCCGGCCCTGAGCAGGCTTGGGGCGTTTTGCCCAGTATTGACGCTGTGGAGGGAAAAGACCCATTTTTTGATCACAGGCTGGTTATTTTGGGGAAGTGGGGGGTGCAGGAGGTGGGAGGCGGACTGGCTGCCCCAGGCGCGCGGGAGGGAACAATGGGGCCACTGTGCAGTCGAACGCCCCGTCTCCTGTCAGAAAGGTCCAGCGAGGGGTTTTCAGCACATTTCTATTCCCCCGCTCGGGTATAATTACACAGGGGAACAAAGAGCCCTTCAAAACCGCCCACTCCCTCAGTGCAGCCCCGGGGGGCTGTGTGCACG